GGAAGACCATGTTTTTCAATGACTATTTCTCCTTCTTTGTTTCCAACTTTTGCATTAAAATTGCCAGTAACTATCAATGCATCTTGATTGCATGTCTACTCAATTTATGACTGAATATGCTAGAATTCTTCACTTCTTCATCACTAGCTTTAGTATTTGGTGCATAAATTTGAATAAAAGTATTGAACATATTTCTTTGCAGGTGGGTAGATATAATCCCATAACAGATGGCATTGCACTTTAAGATAGATCTTGAAACATCGATTTTGAAGATGAATGCAAAGCCATTCCTCTTGATGGTTTTGCATGGCATACCATGATTTTTCTCATTCAAGATGGCCAATGCCAATCTATTTCAGCTCGCAAATGGCTAGAATGTCCATTTTTATGTGTTCCATTGAATTTTTGATGACTTCCAATTTTCCTAGATTCATTCTTCCAACATTCCAAGTTCTATTATTGATTGATTCTCGCAGCTGTTTCTTCTCATTCTTAGTGGTGCCTCATCAGCGAATGAAGGGCTGGGGGGTTTTTACACGCGTAGGCTTCACTGCATCCACATCATCAAGGTCAATTCTACTTGAGAAGGCAATTCTTCAGTCATATTTCGAGTGCTTTCTGACCCGAGGGGCTTTTCTTCTGGTACCATTTCCGACAGTGTTCTGCTTCTTGTCCTGAAGTTTTCAGTATAAGACAGTGCTTGGATTCTGTCCATAACGTTTTCAGTGGCTAGCTCCTCAGAGTAGACAGCCTACTCTTTCTTCACAGTCTGTCCTTAGTCTGGAAGCTCTGTGGAAACCCTCCTGTCCACTTTGGGTGACCCTGCTGGCATTTGAAATACTGGTGTCATAGCATCACTGCAACACACATGCCACCACAGTACAACACACTGAAAGAGAAGCAGTGGGTGAAACCGCTGGGAGGTCTTCAGCCACTGGTTTTTCTGTTGGAAACCCTCTGCTTTACTCATTGTGCCACTGATGCTCTTTAACGCAGCCCTAGTATGCCAATAAGCACCCGCCCCAGTCACCTACCAAGATAATGATAGCCACTGGTCCCATGAAGCTCCAGATAAAGCCTTTCTTAAGATTCAGCCAGCAACTGTTAAGAGAGAAAACACACAACTTTAGCTGCACGCTCATCAACTCGTCAGTTGATGCTGAGTAGATTCCATTCATAGATTTGAATACCAAACAGCCTGAATGTAAGTCCCAGCTCTCCTCTCTCAGACCAGTTAGACAAGTTACCCAACTTTTAGTGCTGTGGATGAATAAGTTGAGCAGCTGCTGCTGATTGCACCAACGTGCCTGGTTGGCATGGGAGTTAAATGGATCATAGAACATTTCAGTTAGGACCTCTCAAGTTGGCTCTCACTTATAGTGACCTCCATCTACACCAGAATGAAGACCTGCGTGCCCACTTGTGTCAGTCCAGGTAGACTAGAGAAACAAATCCAGGGAGACTCCTATGTATGTGAGAATGAGTTTTATATGCAAGAGCAGTTGAATGTTTGGGACACATCTCAGCCCAGTCCAGATCAAGTCCATAAGTCTGATATTAGCCCATATGTCCAATACCAATCTGCCAAGCTGCTAATGGAGAGGCAAAGCCCTCTTCAGACTCAAGAAACACATGCAATGACACTGAAGGCAGGAATATCACAGGCCAGTGAGTAGGAAGTCTTATGGATCCAGTGGCGTTGTAAGCATCTCAGTGCTGGCAGGGATCACCACGTGGCTTCTTCAGCTCCAGAGTTCTAGCTCCATCAGCCTCTGTCCATGTGTCTTCTCCACAGGGATGTCTCACAGGGAGTGAGCAGAGAGAGAGTGTCTCCTGCCTCCTTGGAGGAATACCAGCGTTCCCAGAATCCTCAGGAGAGGACCATGCCCACACAGAGGCCTTAATGGCTGTATCCTGATTGAAAGGCTAGACTCCACCCCTTCACTCAATCCCCAAATTGACACCAGATTATGTAACTACCACACCACTTCTTCCCCATCCTCAAAATTTTTGCTGTTTGAGCTTGTCGTTCCAACCTCTGTCAGTTCATCTCCTTGAGGGCCTGCCTTGTTCTTGCTGGCCTTCTCTTTTACCATGCATGGTGATGTCCTTTTCCAGGGACTGGTCTCTCCTAACAACACATCCAAAGTAAGTGAGATGAAGTATTGCCAATGCTAGCTTCTGAAAAGTATTCTGGCCACACCTGATCTAAAACAAATTTCATGTGTTCTTCTGGCAGTTCTTACCATAGCAGGCTACCAAGCTGCTAATGAAGAGGTCAGCAGTTTGAAACTTCCAACTGGTCCACAGGAGAAAGATGAGGCTTTCTACTCCTGTAAAGACTTACAGTCTCAGAACCCACAGGGGTAGTTCTGTTCTGTCTTATCAGGTCACTATGAGTCAGAATAGACTCGATGGCATTGAGTATAACATATATGTGTTATATATTTTCTTTACATTAAAATATGGTTATGACAAAGACAATGTTATGTGAAAAAGAGTAAAAATAACAAGTTAAGCACAGCCATATAAACAATCAACACTAATTAAGGATATACTATGTGCCAAGTATTGTGTCCTCCTAATTCTTGTACTCTGGCATGACTTATATTGGTTAAGTTAGTGTAACTTACTCTGAAAGGACACCTGACATTATGGCTCTAGTAAAAGTCACAATTAAGATATCCCCAACATCCAATGGGCAGAAAAGCTCCCACATTCATGTTCTATCCCAGAGCTTGACCTGTGGGTCTAATCCAGCCCAGTGCTAGTTTTTGTAAATAAAGTTTTATTGGAACACAACCACACCCATGCATTTACATGTTGTCTGTGGATTATTTCACACTACACTGGCAGAGGTGAGTACTTGTAGCAAGACCCACAAAGCCAAAGACATCGACCATGTGACCAGTGCTGGGATTCCTAAAATTTAACTACCAGTTTGCTGCCCTAATGACTGTTTTAAGTTAAAAAATAAAAAGATATACTGAAACATTAGTTTATAATTTCAACATGATAATAATACCAGAATGCAGCTGTTGCGCAGTGAACGTTAAAAAAAAAAGCATAAGGAATATAAATCTGTGATTTCCACATTGGGCGGCTGCCCAGACACCCCACTTTTGTGAGAACCTTAATGACAAGTGCCGTTTTAACAACCAGTTCACTGAACTCAACAACAAAAACCAGATATGGGTTCTGCCAAATCGGTGTGAAATGGCTGGAACCCACCCCTGTGTGTTGCCCTTTGTGGAAAATGTTGCCAGTTCCTGATTGGCCCTGCTCTCTATTGCACCCACGGGATCATTCTGGTGCGGAGGGTCCAAACTCAGGACACGGCAACTCTTTTGGCTTCAAGGACAACATCACACATGTTGTTTCCGCACATACACACCTACCTCCTAACCCAAGCCATTGTCAGGATATTAACTCCTATAACTAACTGTTGTTTACCAAGATGCTCCAATGTCTCTATGGTTGCTGTTAGACATTACCGAGTCTGCTTGGTTCCATGGCACCCCAGGTACAACCGAAGAACTACCTCATGGCCTGGTCCTGTGCCATCCTCACACTGGTTGGCACACTTGATTCCATTGCTGAAGACATGGTGTGGTTTGAGTGCCTTCCAATCTGGGGGACTCATTTTTTCAGACTATATTGTGCTTCGTAGGCTTTTCGCTGGCTAATTTTCAGAAGTAGATCTCCAGATGTCTTGGTCAGGAATCTCTGCTCCACCCTTTCATCACGGATGACTTTCCTGGCATTGGAAGAGCCTGGGAAGACCGATGGCGCTCAGTTGTCTCTAACAAACGGGGTTGTCATAGGCAGAATCACCTTGATGACAGCAGGTTTCGGTTTTCTCTTTGTTTGTTTGCTTACGTTTTTCTTTGGAAAGAGGCTCTGCCTTCATCAAAGCCTCAAAGGAATCCAATTGCTGAGATGCTGGAAACCATTGCTCCAGGGATTTCTAAGAGAAGGTGGGCTTCCCGCTTGAAAAAGAACTTGCTTAAAATATAACTAACAACTGAAAATGGATTGAGCAAAAAATTTTTCCTTTAAAGTTCTGATCACTTAACAGTTCGGTACTTGGTGTCTAAGTAAAAGGTGGGTGGTTCAAACCAACCCAGGAGCAGTGTGGAGGAAAGGCTTTGAGATCAGCTTCCCATGAAGAACTGCCCCAAGAAAAGCAACAGAGCCGTTCTACTCTGTAACACCCGGGGTGCCAGGAGTCAGAACAAATGGACAGTAGCAGGTTGAGTTTGGGTTTATTACTATGGACACCACTCCCACCACCATAATACATGCACCCATCATGCTTACTGCTTAGATGTTCCATAATTTCTGTGCCCGGCGCCTGCAGATACAGCTGCAATGACAGCTGGGATCCCATATCCAAAAGAGTACATGAACTTCTTGTTGAATCTGCTCGCACTGGTGTAGTTGGCCACTTTGAGGTTCCTGATGGTGAGGAAGAGGTGCAGCCCTTCCAGGAACATCCAGGTGAAGGAGGCCAGGTAGAGGTAGTGCATTGCCCCAGCGATCACGGAGCACAGCACCTGGAGAGGGAGGAGCGTTGAGAAGGTGGATAAGATACTAATTGCTCAGCAGGTAGCAGAAAGTTCAGTGATTCAAGCCACCCACTGCTCTATGGGAGAAAGCTGTGGCTATCTGCCTCCGTGAAGATTATAACTGGAAACGCTCTGGGGCATTTCCTGGTGGTATAACGGGTTACCTGTTGGGAAGAACAACTAGAAAAAACTCAACAAGAATACAGATCTCAACAACACAGCGAACCAACTTGATCATAGATAAGCACAGAACACTTCGCCACTGCCTCCTGTCCCAAACCCCAAAAATGCAACACACATTCTTTCCCAAGGCATGTTTACTCCAGAAGAGAATGCATATTCATTTACAAAACAAGCCTTAGCATATTGTAAGACATTGACATAATAGAAAACATCTCAGAGTCTAACACTATAGATGATAACAACAACAACAACAACAACAACAACAACAGGAAGATCAGAGAAAAAGTCAAATACATGGAAAAGGAGTAATACCATTGTGGTAGTTACGTAATCTGATGTCAATTTGGGACTTGAGAGGATTAAGAGTGAAGGGGTGAAGCCTAGTCTGTCAACCAGGCCATAGCCAATGAGGCCTCTGTGTGGGCCTGGCCTTCTCCTGAGAATTCTGGAAAATCCAGTATTTCCTCTTTGGAGGTGGGAGACATGTCTCTCTTTCTGCTCACTCCCTGAAAACACTCTACTGACAAGATGCATGGAACTACACTAGCGCCCTTAGCTGGAGAAGCCATGTGGAGACCCCTGCCAACGCTGAGATGCTTATATAGTCACTGGATCTGAAGACTTTCTATCCACTGGCTTCTGGTCATCTTGAATTCCGTGTCATTGCATGTGTTTCGTGAGTCTGAAGAGGACTCTATAGATTGATATCGGACATATGGGTTAATAGCGGACTTATGGGCTTGCACTGGACTGGGTTGGGATGCTTTCTTAATGTACAATTACCCTTTATATAAAACTCTGTCTTATACACATATGAAAGTGTCCATGAATTTGTTTCTCTAGTCAACCCGGACCAACCCAACCATGTTTAAAAACTGTGGAGAAATAGAAGAAACAAAATGTGAAATTAAAAAAGAAAAACAAAACTCCAGAGGCAAACAGGAATGAAAACACAACAGGTCCAAACGTTTGGAGCAGAGGCAAAGCAGTGCTCAGAGAGTAATTTATAGCAATAAATGCACACATTGCAAAAGGAGAAAGAGCTGAAATCAATGCCTAGCTTTCTAGCCTGTTCTAGCCAATGGAATGTGAGAGGAGAGTCCATAAAATCTTCCTTCTTGGCACTCTGCCTTCCTCTTGGCTCAAAGGGAAAGAATCCTGAGGCGAGCTTGGTAACTCTACACAGAATATGGCAGAGCCTCCCCTAGCCTGAGGGTGAGGGTGGACACACGCCTGCAAACCTGTTGCCCCCCTCCCATCTCTACTGATACATAAATGAAAATTCAACTACTATTGTATGAAGCCCAGAGTGGCACAATGGATGAAGACTCATTTAACCAAAGGGTTAGTTGTTGATATCCACCCCGAGGTACCTCAGAGGAAAAACCACCTGATCCACGTCTGTAAGATCATGGCTGGTGAAAACCCTGTGCCTCACAGTGCCATTCTGAGACACACAGGGCCCCCATGTGTGGGGATCTGCCTCCACACATGAGGAGTTTCCCTGAGATGCTGACATGTTAGGGTTTGCTGTTACAGCAGCTAGTGTTGCCCAATCTAACAGCATCCTCTCAGCCCTTGCTGGGGACCTTTCAGAAAGCGTGGGTCTTGTTCAAAGTTAACTTGGAGCAGAGTTGAAATGGGGACCCTGGTTTTCCCCCTACAACCCTCAACCCTGATTCTGGCCTCTGTCCCCATGTCTCCTCAGACAAGATGGTGAGGTTTGATCTCGACAGAGGTCATTTGGAAGAACTCTTACCCGAGGCTCAGTTTTGTCCATCCCCATGAGGAAGAGCAGGTGGGCCAGGAATGGGCAGAGTGAGAGCTGCAGGTGGATGGAGGTGCTGGTGTTCTGGATGGGTTTGCACAGGAGGAAGGTGAGGGCTGCCAGGAAGAGGCACAGCAGAGAGAGGCTCAGTCCCACACAGGTGATCACACCCAGCGCCAGGTCTGCCTGAGAGCCAGGAAAGGAGAGCTCAGTCCATTTCTCAACTCTGAGGCTCTGGCCCTGATGGCAGGTCAGATGGGCTTTCCAGCCCAAGGGTCCCAAAAGACAGTTGTTGGGACCCCCTGAGACTTCCTTTCCCATCTTATAGTAACCAAAGACACAATGGGTCAGTGTTGGCTGCTAGCCATAGACTGGTAGTTTGAAGCCACCCAGGGACTCTCTGGGGGAAAGACTGGAGAATCTGTTCCCATAGAGACATCAGCCCAGGAGACTCTGTGGAGCAGTTTTAGTCAGCCACATGGGGTCGCTATAGCCCCCAAACAACTCAACCACATCTAACAAAAGCCAAACCCCAACAATAACAATAGATGTAGCTCTCAAGGAGCGCGGGTGGCATTGTGGGTTATGAGTTGGGCTGCCAACCACCAGTTCAGTGGTTTGAATCCAACAGCCGTTCCCTGGGAGAAAAATGAGGCTGTCGGCTCCTGCGAGGATTTACAGTCTGAGAAAGCCAGTGGGACAGGTCTACCATGACCTATAGTTGTGGCTATGAGTCAGAATCAACTCAGTGGGAATCAAAGCTCCGTGAGTTTTGAGATGGGCTTCTGACGTAATGGCTGAAAACGAATTGGCACATCAGTACCCCATGATGTGTTTTGGTTTCCATCAGGGGTCCTGGTGGCATAGAGGATATACATTGGGTTGCTAACTTTTAGGTCAGCAGTTTGAAACAGGCAGGTGCTCCCTGGGAAAGAGATAAAGGTTTCTATGCCCATAAAGAGTTACTGTCTTCAGAAACCAGTGGGGGAAGGTCTACCTGTGTATAGGGCAATTATGAGTTGGAATGACTTGGTAGCAGTGAGTTTTTTTTAATTGGTCTCTATCGTTTTGTTTTACTTGCTCACCCCCTCTACTGGTGCTTTCGGGAATCACCGCCTAAGTAAGTTACTAGCGCTTGAGTCTCTAGCTGAGATTTGAGAGGATGATGTCGCGGCTCACTGGACCTGGTCAGGTTCACAGGAGCAGACCATGAATCTTGGTACCTTGGGCTCAAGAGCCATGAGGATGGCGAAGCTAGTCAGATGGAAGCATTGGCATTTGGTGAAAGAATTATTGCCACTCCGAGGAGAGCAGCCCGCTGTTGACCAACCGCCTCCGTCCTTGGATTCGTCCCAGGAGACACACAATGGTCTCGCTCTCACTTCCACGGGCTGTAAAAAGAATAGCATAGCACTGATTCCCTGGACGGTTTCTTATCTGAGCCTTGTAGGTTTCTCACAGATGCACTGGGTTGGAGCTGACATTAGGAAAATCCCACTGCCTTGAGCACCTGTGTGGTGCCCTGGTGGTGTAGAGGTTAATCATTGGACTGTGATCTGCATAGTCACCAGTTCAAAACCACCACCAGCTCCATGGGAGAAAGACTGGGCTTCCTACTCCTGTCGACGGTTACAGTCTCAAAAACCCACAAGGGGGCGCTGCGAGTCACATGCACTCGATGGCAGTGACTGAGTTTGAGTCCTTGCTGAGAAGAGTTCCACACTTTCTTCATGCCGCCCTTTCCTGTGCATCTCAGTGCCGGGGTTTGACCCTTACGAACTGCCTTGCCCAAGCTCCTTGTTAACTGGCTGGCTGGCTTCTAGTAGGCTCTATCAATATGGGTGTTCCCGAAGGGAGATCAGTGGGAAAGAGAAGGGAGTTCAGGTTGTTCTTCTAGGTCATTTCCACCTTCCTAGGAGCCCTGGTTGAAGTTGTCAAGAATTTTGTCTGCCTCGGATCCACAGTCCATGATCATGGATGCAGCAGTCAAGAGCTCAAAAGACACATTATATTAGGTAGATCTGCTACACAAGACCTCTTTAGAGTATAGAGGAGCATGAATGTTTCTTTGAGGACTAAGGTGACCTTGACCCAAGACATAGTATTATCAATCATCTCCTGTGCATGTGAAAGTTGGACATTGAATAATGAAGATCAAAGAAAATTCAATGTGTTGAATTGTGCTGGAGAAGACTGTTGAAAGTACTTTGGACTGCTAAAAAGACAAACCAATTGGTCTTGGAAGAATTATGGCCGGAGGGCTCCTTAGAGACAGGGATGCAAGACTACATACTTTGGGCATGTTGTCAGGAGAGACCAGTCGCTGGGGAAGGACATCATGCTTGGCACAGTAGAGGGGTGGCACAAAAGAGGAAGGCCCTGATGAGATGGATTGACACAGTGGCTACAACAATGGCCTCAGGCGTAGGAACAATTGTGAGGATGGCGCAGGACTGGACAGCATTGAGCTCTGTTGTGAATAGGGTCACTGTGAGTTGGATCAGACTCAATGGCACATCCAACAACATGAACCTTGATGCAGGTACCATGATGCCATGACTGTTCCATGCTGGGCTCCTAACTGCAAGATCAGTCGTTTGAAACCAGCCGCCAGCTCCAGGGAGGAAAGACGAGGCTTTCTACTCCCTAAAGAGATAGTTGCTGTCAGTCAAAATGGACTCGAGGCCAGTGAGTTTGGTTTTGGAGGAGCCCTGGGGATGCTGTTTTCTAAGTGAGAGGTTGGTGGTTCAAGCCCACCAGCAGGTCCTCTGGAGGAAGCTGAGACTATGTGCTCCTGTAAATATTTGCAGCCATAGAAACACTATGTGGGGTCACTGTGAGTCAGAATTGACTCCGTGGCAGTGGTTTTCAGGCACACACACACACACACACACACACACACACACAACTGTCTATATGTTGAAAACAGAAGTGGCTCGTGTGTTGCTTTGATGCTGGAAGCTCTGCCCCCTGCACTTCAAATCCTAGCAGGGTCTCCCAGGGGGGAGCTTTCAGGGGCTCTTCCACACTAAGACACGCCCAGGAGAAAGGCCTGTCAACCTGCTTCTGAAGGTTGTGGTTGGTTCAAGCCAAACTCACTGCCACCGAGTTGAGTCTGCCTCACAGTGGCCCTACAGGACAGCGTAGAACTGCCCCTATGAGTTTCCAAGATTGGGACTCTCTCCGGAGTAGCAGGCCTCATCTTTCTCCCGCAGAGCGATTGGTGGTTTTGAACTGCCGACCTTTATGGCTAGCAGCCCAATGTACACCAGGGCTCTGTTGTTAGTTGGTTGCCATGGAAACAGTCGCAGGTGTAACAGAGCTCCGTCCGGGCTGTCTTCAGGATCTCTGCTCATTAAAAGGCATCATGTTTGGTCATTGGAGGGCCAGCGCAGGTGTGGGGAACCCTGGGGGAGGTGGATGGACACAGTGGCTGCCACCTTGGACTCTCGCAGACTAATGACTCTGAAGTTGGCAGGGAGGGCCAGGTTTTCCTCCGTCTCACACACTCACCCTTCAAAGTGCCTGGGCGGTGCCAACAGTCAGCAAGCTCAGCTGCTGAGGGTATGCTTGGAGGCTCTAGGCCCCATAGAGGGACCGTGAGAAGAAAAGTCTCAGGATCGACTTCCCAAGAGCGCGATGGAGCGCAGTTCCACTCTGACCCTCCCGGGCCGCTGTCACTCAGCAGTCAGGCAACGCCAGCTGCTAATGTTTCTTGCGGGGTGGGGTGGGGGGTGCTATTTGTTTATTCGTATGTCTTATTTTTTATAGAACCAGCTGTTGATTTTGCTCACTCACCTGCGTATGTTTCAAGGTCAGGACCACAGGTTTGGTTAGATACGTTTTGTTCTTCGAGCCAATGGTGCCACTCACGATATCAGAGTTCAGTTGTACTTCCCGAAATTGTTTCCGGTCATTGAAAAAGGAAGCGTTGAGAACATTCCCCAAATTTTGCATGGCTATCAACGAAATAGCGCTCTGATCTGAAACCGGAGAAGGGAAATAACTTCATTGGGTTTCCATTACTTGGAGAGGAGTCATAAGGAATCCTAGCAGTGGTTCTTAACCTTCCTCATGCCACGACCCTTTCATACAGTTCCTCATGTGGTGGTGACACCCCAACCACAAAATTATTTTCGTTGCTTCTTCATAACTGTAATTTTGCTACTGTTATGAATTGGGCAACCCCTGTGAAAGGGTCGTTGACCCCAAAAGGGTCATGACCCACAGGTTGAGAACCACTATAGAGAAACCTGGTGTTGCATCAACAATGCCCACCAGGCACTATGCTACTTGTGATCGGGGTGAGGCCTTGGCCTTCTCACCAAGAGGTCAGTGGTTCCAATCCCACTTGCCGTTTTTGTTTTTTTTCATTCCAGGGAGAAAGATGATACATCCTCACCCCACCTTAACGAGCTGCAGGAACTCCATGCCCCGTGCTCACCTCTCTGGTGAGTTGGTAATGAATGCGTCTGCCTTTGCTGTTCTCCCTGAGAAGCTGTGAAGCAGGGCAATGACTCTTAGCCGTATTCAACGCCAAGAAGTTGACTAGCTTGGCTGCAAAATACGTGATGGATGGTTTACAAAACTACTGAGAGGATCCAATCCCTTGAGAGGGAGGCAGACAGAACAAAGCAGAGACTGGAGGTGCTTTATCTCTGTGCTGTTGTGAGGCCAGCCGACCTTTGTGGAAACTCTGCTCGCTCAGCCTACGTTCATCCTTACCATTACCCCCTGTGTCCTTTTCGTTGCTTAAACCTGAAATGTCTCAAGCGACTTCTCTAAACCTGGTGTTCCAATACCTTTTGTCCAGCAGGTGCACTCAAATGTGGCTCAGTCCCAAGGGGTCTCTCCATGACCCGAGATAACATAAACTAGGAGATGGAGCCTTATTCCGGATGCCTAAGAGAGAGCAAGATAAGCCCTTCCTGAAGGCTGTCAGTACCTGACTGAGGCTTTGTGACCCCTGGCCTTCAGGGCGGGGGTCATGTTGGTTAGCCCTGGGAGGGAAAGGCAAAGGGTTTGATATTCTTCTTCTGAAACGCATCCCCGACCCCGCTTTTCTTGAGTGTATAAAAAAAAAAAATCCCCTCCCCTCATTGTTGAGGAGGTGGTGAGAAACACCCAAAGCCCACCTCCTTTGCTTCAGCAATTCAAACGGTCTCCTTTTCAGAAGCTGATCTGTCTGGTTATTTTCAATTCCAAACTGGAGGCAGGCAGGAGTCTGGGGTATTTTTTGTTTTAACAAAAGTAAAGATTTACCACCTGAGAAATCCTATATCGGGTCAGGATAGACTCTATGGCAGTGGGGTTGGGTTTTGCTGTTGTTGGCCCCTTATAAGAGGTATCGATGCAAAACGTGGTAATTAATGAACTGTGAATAAAGACATTTATGGGTCTTGACATAGCAAGTCAGATTCATGAAGGCAAGAAACCAGCCCTCCGAGGGGCAGGGATGGGATGAGGAAAAAAAATCACACATTTCCACCTTCCATCTCAAATTCATTCTAGGGAGACCATTGAAACGATAGGCACGCAGGCTCGCTCATTCCATGTAATTGGCATGCTGGCTTTTGCACAGCGTCTTTCTCGCCCCCACACCTGTCCCTTCAGGCTTTGCATCACGGACCCTCTATCCCTGTATCTCTCTGACTCCCTGTAACACTCTCCCTGTCTCTATGACCCCTACTTCTGGTTGGCCATCCCTCTGACTCCCATTACCTCTGTGGTCTGACCCTTTATACCCCCTTCTCTATGATTCTTACCTCCCCTCTTCTATACCCTGAGTACCTCTGTCTCTGTCTCCCTCCAATCTTCTCGTCTTTCTCGGGTTCCTTTTCATGCAAGCATAATTCATTCACACAAATCAAATACATGTTGTATCATGGAGCAAAAACCCACACAAAACGACTCAAACTCTCTGCCATCCAGATGACTCATAGTGACCCTCTAAGACAGACTTGAACTACCCCTGTGGGTTTCTGAGACTGTCACCCTTTAGAGGAGTAGACAACCACATCTTGCTCATGCCCAGCAGCTGGTGGGTTTAGGACTTCTGACCTTGTGGTTAGCCACCCAACGGTAACTGTGAAGCTCGGTCTCTGGGTTGTCGACTGGGGGGAGCTAGCACCCTCCAGCCCTGTGTGGTTTGTAAGGGTCCAGAGATAAGCCCAGCTCACACTAGCACACAGTAGCAAAGAGTGAAGCTACAGTTTTATGAAAGCATCCGATCACTTCCAAGGAAACGAAGGGAATCCCTTTTGAGAGTTGGGAAGGGACCCCTTCAGCATAGACAAGATGCACTTGGCTTCTGGAGGAAATCGGTGGTGGGGGTTGGGGGATGGGGGTGGCCTAGAGAGTTGAGAAGGGACATTGCCTAGGGGAACCCTTTTGGTTTTCAAATGGCACTTTCAAAGGGGAGGGAGCTACCGCTTTGCAGATGGTCAAGCAGCTTCATAATGCGCTACTCAGTCCATCCTTGGGGCTCATGGTGTCATTTCTTTGGGCTGCTGCTCTGGGCCAGTATGTCTCAAAATTCTCTTCAAGGACAGGCCCAAGTCAGGATTTTCACCAGGGCCTGGCTTCCAAGGTTAAGGTGTTCACCAAGCCAGTTCTTACAGGGGCCTTGGTACTTTCCCTGAGCGGTCAGGGCAGAAGCCCCTGTTCTGTTCCTCTCAGTAACTACCACACCACCCGGGGCTCTCAGAGCAGCACAGTGGGGGTGTTTCTGAACCCAGAATTATTTGGGGAGGGGCAGCCATCTCCTTTGTATGATTTGCTTTCTTTTAAGAGCAACTCATTGGAGATCCTTTCTTCCCCACTGTCATTGCCCAGACTCGCAGCAGAGGAAGAGGGGAGGCAGTCGTGGGGAGGTTTCCATAGGAAATGCAACAGCGCCTTCCCATTCTCAGAGTAACCAGGTCTTTCTCTCTGAAATCTTTTATAGCCACTTCCTCAAACATTTGCTGCGAGACGAATACAGGCTCTGGGCATTTCAGAGACAGCAGCGAACCAAGCCCTGCCATCAGAGAGCTCCCGTTGTAGTGGGAGAAATGGATAGCGAAGAAAGATATAAAAATTTAAATATAACTAAAAGATGTAAAAAAAAAAAAAAAAAAGATGCTTGAGGCACAAAAGCAATGAACCAAGACATTGAGCACACAGAGATGGTAGCAGCGAGGTTCCCGGCCACCTGAGCTCACAGAGAAAGGGTGACAGAGACCCTTGAAAAGTTCAAGGTCCTTCCTCCAGGGCCCTCAGAGAAAGCTTGCCCCTGCATCTGGTGCTCGGAATGCAGACTTCAGACTCCTGTCATGGATGAAATTGGGTCCCCACCCCTCCCCCCACCCCCAGTGAGCCATCTTTCGCAGGGGTCTGGCAGTTCTGTTATGATGGAAGGTCGCAGTTATGTGCTGATCCCCCGAGATGTGATCTGATGTATGGCGAAACCAATGAAAGGATTATGTGTGGGATGCAACTTGATCTCCCATACTTTGGACATGTCATCGGGAGAGACCAGTCCCTGGAGAAGGACAGCATGCTTGGTAAAGCAGAGGGGCGGTGAAAAAGACGAAGACCCTCGATGAGAGGAAGACCGTCGTTGAGATGGATTGTCACCGTGAGAACAATAATGGGCTCCAACACAGGAACAATTGTGAGGATGGTGCTGGAGCGGGTGGGGTTTTGTTCTGCTGGGCATGGATAGGGTCTCTGTGGGTCAGAACCAACTGGGTGGCACCTGACAGCATGAACAACCACAAGCAACACCCTTCATCCCATCATGTACCTGATCTTAGGGAAAGGGAGTTTCCTTGGAGTGTGAGCTGTAAGACCCTTTATCTTGCACAAGATAACAGAAAGAGAAGTGAGCAGAAAGAGAGTGATCTGCTACTACCAAGAAAGAAGATCCAGGAATGGAGCAGATCCTTTGGACCCAGGATCCCTGGGCCATGACTCTCTTAAAGCCGGAGAATATTGATGCCAAGACACATGGAGATCTACGTGGGACACTGGGACCACAGATGTTGAAAGGAGACAGGACTTTTCCCTGGAGCTGAAAGCGTGAGAAATCCTTCCCCTTAAGCCACAGGAATGAGATATTTAACCTTTTAAATGTGAGGGACTATTTTCTGTTTGTTTATGCCACCCTGGTGCTTCTATCACAGCAGCACAAGATCACTAACACACACACACACACACACACACACACACCCTTCTTCAGACACCTAGAAATAAGACATGGCATCGTAGAGGTCAAGAGAATCCATCTTAAATACATACTTGCTGTGATTTCTTTGAATGCGTGGCTGCATTCAATTTCCATTATGTTGTTCCCAGCATCCAAAATTGTTCTCTTGGTTGTCTCATTGCATTTCTTGGTTTCAGAGACTGGAAAAATAAAGAGCATGAGTCCTGCTTCGCTTGTTTCTCAGACCTAAGACTTGTGGACATTTCTTCATCGGCAGACCCAGTATTGGTAATTTCATCACTTGCATGCGCCAAAGTCAAGGTAGACAAGACGGTATCCCCCACTCC